AGGGTATTGTGGGAGTTGCTTACTAATCCAAGTTTCTCTGCAAACATCAGTTTTTGTGTGTGTGGCAAGGACAAAGTAGCTACCAGCGATCTGTTCAGGTCATTTTCCAGTGTGAATTTTTGTCTGAATGCTTTTACTGTGCAATTGGGCCATTAAACTCTCTCAGCAGTTTCACAGATGAACCTTTCCATTCTGTCTGCCTGCCCGTGTTAGTCCGTGCTAGTCTCAACAACACACGCTGCTAGTGTTCTCTCTGAACGGTAGAGATCTCTCTCTACTCTAAATCATCGACAGTGATGCTACTTTGAGCTGCTTAAACCTCATGGTTTATATCTTTACTTTTAAATTAAGGAACATGCCCAATCGATATTGCTTAGATAGTGTAGCGGTTTCTTGAAGCTTTTCTGTGTCACACTGAGTGCTCAGTCTTGTTTCTCATTTGAAAAAGCTTCTCCCACGCTAAAGCCCTTAGAGGCAAATTTTCACAAGTCCTGATTTTTGATGATTTTACAACAAATGAATGTATGCCATTGCCTACACATCCCACACTTTTACACTGAATGATGAAAATTCAGTATTGGAGCCTTTTAGTGCAAAATATTATCTATGCATTAGGGCTGCCCCCGACTAGATGTTTCTAGTCAAGTATTAGTCGCTCATTTAAGCCATTATTAGTCGACTAATCGTACATTTATATTAATTTAATTACTTAAATATACAGGGGGGAATACTAAACCATAAACAGCCCTATAGGCCTAATATATAGCCTATTCTGCGCTCGAGCACACTCATAAAGCTTGCAGAAAAGCACCGGCAAAAGTAATGATTATGAATGTTGAAAAAAATCGCAAGGAGAGATTTTAATTATTTATTAATAAATTACTGTTTTCTGAGTCTGTATCGGCTGCAAAGATGAAGTTGACTATGCTGACCTGCCATCTCCTCACATTATAGTGAACGCGAGAGAAATGCACGTTTCATACGGATTAGGGATGTCCCGATACCACTTTTTCACTTCCGATACCGATACCGATGCCGCAGCTTTGGCTTTTGCCGATACCGATATTAATCCGATATTTTTATTTTATTCTTAAACTAATAAAAAATATAGCAATTTTCTCAATTAGCCACCTAAAATATACCTCCTAATAGTCCACAACAACAGTTGATTATGAAAGATTGCCACCCTTTATTCAAACACTACAAAAAAATAAAGAAATATATAAATGAAAGAAAATACAGGTACTTCAGTACTTAGCTAGCTACCAACAGGCTTAAAGTTAAAACAATTTAAACAGCAGCATTCTACATTGTAAATACCAGTACAGTGTTTGTTTTTTAAATCAAGTCGAATTTCTATAACTGTGTGTTAAACTGATTATCACTCTTGTGTGTGTTAAACACAATCTACTTAATACAGACAGCTTCATTATAAAGATAAACAACAAATCCCCAAAATATATGATCATAATCTATGACAAAAATGCTATTATAAACTAGATTAGTGGATAATACACATTGCTCTTTTTATTGTTGTAAAATACATTCATGAAAAACAAGATAACAAAAATGAAAAAGATAATTATTTTAGATATAGCTAAATCTGCTATAAAATTGAGACATGTTTTAAGTGTATTGCACAGCTATTTAATGAGGCAGCAAAATTAATAATTATTAATGTTAATAAGCTTTAATTGCGTCACTGCATTATGATATGAAAGGCTCCAATACAGTGCGGCACAAAGCGCTTATGCGCATCCCGAGCGGAGAATGATGCGCTTGAAGCCACGTGGAGTTACAGCACGCAGCGCGTCGAGTCCGCTTTGAAAAGTTCAAAGCACAACGGAGATACATATTGATGGACAGTGTATTATACAGTATCTATCTATGCAATCGTTTATTGAGCCTTTTCTTTTAACAGTTTTAAATTTCAGTTACTGTGCGCGTGAAGAACAATTATAGTGCTCTGACTCTAGTGTTGTGATCAAACCGACAGCGTCCGACACCCAGTAGAGAGTAACACGATTGAGTTACAGCAATAAAGTCCAGCAAGATAAAGTTGTTTTATGCGAAAACATAGACCTTTATCTTACAGATCAAGTATAATAGTATTAACATTGAATCATCTTGAAGATAGTTTCATCTAGGGTTGCCAACTTTCTGAAATGGAAATAAGGAACGGGGGGGGGGGGGGGGGGGGGGATTCATACATTTTATATCATATTATAATGCAACTTATTAGGCCTATATATTTATAGAATAGCAAAGTAGGCTTAATCAATATACAGGACTTAACCACATATATAAAGGCTATCATGATCATTTTGCCACAAATGAACCATGTATTTGTTTAGATTATAATACGTTTTATTTTTAACTTAAACAAATACAACATATAACATTCGAAACTCATCGGCTTAGACTGCATTTGAAGAAAAATAAACACAACAGTTTTCTGTATCCTTGTGCGAACTTATTCAATAGAATTAGACTTCTAGAATGTGCTTTTCGGTGCAAAAAATTTTTAAAAATTTTTTGGGGAAGTTTTTCTTATCATAGCCTACAAATGTCTTCGGAAACACATTTTACTTGATTTACTGAAGCCTGTAAAATGCATTTGCAGCTGCACAGCTTGCACATTGAGCGTCTGGCTCGCTCAGGCTGCGCTGCGGCAACTGCACATCCAATGGCGTGGGCGCCTCTGACGTGCGACCAATGAGACAACTCTACGTCATTACACGTCAGAGCCCGTCAAGGTGGCGCCAAGTCCCCGAATTTGCATGCAGCGGGTCTTCGTTCATTCATCATAGTCTGTCTGACATATATATTAGAAGCTATGCGTCTGTCATGGATTTGCACTGAATTGATTCTCAAAAATACGGAACAAAGTGCGTTCCGTATCAGTTCAATACGGAACAAGCCTTTTATGTGTCAAATACGGAACGATTCCGTATTATACGGAACGGTTGGCAACCCTAGTTTCATCATTGACTGTAACCGAACGCGACGCGCTGTTTGAATGCTGAATGGGGAATGACTGACAGCCGCGAGAGGGAAAAGTTTACGTGATCTTGAATTTAATGACTTAAATATTAATTTATATCTCACATAATGGCTTCAGAACACTTATAATAGAGTGCACGAAAACGTTATGGTACTTTAGAATGTTTTTGTGCCTTTTGTGGGGCTTAACAATAACACATAATAGTATATCGGATTTGGATCGGCCTCGTCTGATCGATGTCTGATCGATACCCGATCCCGCAAAAATGGCAGTATCGGAGCCGATACCGATCCTGAGTATCGGATCGGGACATCCCTAATACGGATTACATAATCGGTGCGTATTTGTTTATTATCAGGGCTCCAGAGTCCAGACTTAAATTTGAGAGTAGTAAAACCGGTGCCACTAAGTTCTACACATGGTGGCGCAAGCACCTGATTTGGTACCGCTAGTGGGATTTTTAAACACAAATTACTATTGTTTTGCATTAATAAGTATAGTTACTTACTAATAATATTACTTGTTTGTTTGTTGGAAATTTGACAGTAAAGCACTGAGCTTGAATTGAGATGCAGATAAAATGTACTTTTATTGAAAAAAGGATTGTGCAAAAACCTTGGCAACCTCCTTATAGGGGAAATTTTCATATCAAATTTAAACGTAAAATTTGATCATGCAGCGATATTATTAATAGAGGCGAATTGAAACGCTTTCTCACTGGATCGCCCTGCGCTGTTTTGTAACAGTGTCACATGCTCGAGATCGACCCACGAGTAAACCTGTTCTGACCTCACGCTGTGGTGTCTATTATTGCTCCATGCTCATAAACGCTCAAATGAGGAGCGTGGTTTCATTCCACTTTTTTTTTGTTTGACGTTTGTTTCATATACAACAGAAATGGCAGCTCTTATTAGTTGGGCAACGTGGTGTTGGCTCCAGTGCGATCTCTAAGAAAATGTAGTCGCACCGATAGGAAAAAAGGTCGCAAAATGCGGTCTGGAGTGTTTTCCGCCAACTGAGAGCCCGCAGTGTGGAAATACTATTGGGTAAATTGTAGGGGTGGGAATCTCTAGGCACCTCACGATTCCATTACGATTCAGAGGGCTGCGATTCGATGCTAAATAGATTATCTGAATCTTTGTGTGTGTGTGTGTGTGTGTGTGTGTGTGTGTGTGTGTGTGTGTGTGTGTGTGTGTGTGTGTGTGTGTGTGACTATAAATACTTTGCTTTAAAAGTACAAAGTAATGACCTATAAAGAATTAAAGTACAATATATTTTATTAACATTGCCAAGAACCAACAGGAAAATAAATGTGTACCTGAACTAGCTTGTAGTAAATTAATGTAGACCATGTATCATGTAGACCAAAACAAAAACAAACATTCCGACACGGAACACACATTTCAAAGTTGAATAACTGGCTGTAGCATTGCTTTATGGAGAAACAAGTGTGAACTTAGCATGTTTCCTAAATCTCTGAAAACATACTATGGTATTTTTGTGCTTTAGTACAGTCAAAAACATTACATACAGCACCTTTAATGTAGTCATTGTTGTAGATAAGGCAAACTTTCTAAACTGTTATTTGGAGTTAACAGTCATTTTAACTAAGCCATTTAAAGTGCTAAAGTTTGCAGTGATTATAGCAAATAACATTCTACTTGGAGAAAGTAGCGCCACCATTGGGATATGTGAAGAAGCTCTTGAGCTTCAGCCTCAACATTCTGGTCAAAATGCCTCCTAGAACATGCTGGTGGTTCAGGAGGAAAGCAAATCCCCCACAATCCACTGCAAACTCACATTCAGATCCGACTCCATTCTAATATGAAACGCCTAGGTGGATCCCAATCAATTTCCAATGAATAAAATTCAGTCCTGTCATACTACATTTTCTCATTGAATATTGTGTTTTACTCAAGATTACAGAAATAAAATGGGTTGTCAATGCAGTTTCTTTTAAGTGTCTTAAATTCCTCCTTCTGTTCTGTCTCTTTAGGAATCGATTTTAAGATCAAAACAGTTGAATTGCAAGGAAAGAAGATAAAGCTACAGATATGGTAAGTTCTTAGTGTGTGTTTGCATGGTTTCATATTCATAACACACATTATACAAATAGATAATGTTATGTAAATGCTTTAAGTTAATATTTAAATTTTGAATAACTGAAAACGATATAACATGTTCATAAACATGCACATATAACATACAATTCATGCTTCACATTTTTCTGGGAGAAAAAAAGTCTTAATGGTTTCTAAAAGTGAACAGCAGTGTTTTACTGTAGCATTACATAAAAAGCAATGTCACAAATCTGACAATTTAATTTTACATCAGTTTAAACTAACAAGGAATATTTAAATATCACCAATTCTTATCTCAATTTGGTAATATATAGTAATGTCAACTATATAATACCAACATCAACTATATATATTACATCAACTAGGCCTATATATTAGCAATTTTATATATTGTTCAGTTCTAGGTTATATGCAGGATACAAAATGAAAATTCATTCAAGGATGAAGAGACTTGCTAGCATGCAGTTCAGAGACTGGTCTACTGGAAAAATGTGGTTCTTCATCATGGTTTCATTTCGGTGGCTTGTGACCTGGAATGTGTTACCATTCTGTTACGACAGTAAAAGAAAAAAAAAATGTTGGGCTTCCTAGTAAAACGGTTAAAAGTGTCAGGTAGTGCAGCGATGTAGGCGTCACCATGACACAGTTTACTGCAGATATAAATGGCTAAAGCATCTAAATAATTCCATTGTTGCTGCACGTTTTGCGCATGAGCTGCACACACAAATCGCTACACTTTTATCGATTAAATTATTATCAACAATTAATTGATCATCGATTAATCATTAGCATCCCAAGTCTGTTCTTATGCTTAAATGTCCCTGCACTGTGTTTTCCATTTTGAATAAATTCTGTGAAATTTCTTTGAAAGACAAGAACATGTCACACATTGAACATATTGAAAGACAAGAACATCACACAAGCAGTATAGCGGACGGCAACCGTTGCTGAGGGGGAATTAGTTCCTGTGTGTTTTATGATCCATTCGATGCCTGGGCTGGACTGACGTGTTTGATTGTGTTTGTGCAGGGATACAGCGGGACAGGAACGGTTTCACACCATCACTACCTCTTACTACAGAGGGGCCATGGGAATCATGCTCGTGTATGACATCACCAACGCCAAGAGCTTCGAAAACATCAGCAAATGGCTCAGAAACATTGACGAGGTCAGTTTCCACACAACGTTACTGCAACCCTCTGACAACATCAGAGAAGGCACAGTCATTCAGGAAATGATGTTTCAATAGGATTGTGTGTTTGAGTGGAAAATGTTGAGAAATTTACTCGAGACCCAGATTTTAAGTTTGACATAAAATAGTCAACACAAATGTATTCGCAATGTGAACTGCAGTAGTTTTTGGTAATATTTTGAGATTTGAGTATTTTAATTTTAGTTTACATATCATTGAGCCAGGGTTATTGTTAAGTTATTAACATGACATGGCCTCAATAGGAAAATGTTGGCCAATAATTGACTGCACAAAACACATTCTGGTCAAGTTTTCTTTTACCTTGCATAGTTTTGTTTTTGATTTCAAATTTGGTTGTAAGTGCGTTCTTCTAGCTTTTAAAAGTTATTTTACTAGTCTGACTATGCATGATCAAATGGTTAGTTGCTATTTATTATTATAAATAGAACAGACCTGCGACCCAGTTTTGAGTTGAGAAACGCTGGTGTAGGACTTTTGAAGTTCCAGTCCGGTAAAAACACCAACTTAAAGATATGTAGCCGTGTAGTGAAACTGCTGACTTGTGATGATTCATGCAGAATTTCCCAACAATCAGCAATTTCAAGACAATTCATATAACGAGACTCCATTACGGATGTGGTTGTGTTGTGTTTGGTGGCGTGTTGTTCATATCAATAAGTCACTCGCACCACTGTTATAAAACGAAGTACCTCAGTACTGTTTTTTTCAAAGACTTCTGAAGCCACTTTAATTTCGACTGTCTGTCTAAATGTCACTATTTGTAAGGATAGTATAAGAATGGATCATCTCAGATGTGTGTATGTTTGTTGCAGCATGCTAACGAGGATGTGGAGAGGATGCTGCTAGGCAACAAGTGTGACATGGAGGACAAACGTATCGTACCAAAAGCCAAGGGGGAACAGGTGAGAGACTAAAGATGGGTCAGGATGGTCAATTTGTCCACTAGTTTTTGATTAACAAGGTTAAAGCAAAGCGTAAAAACACATGCATAACAATTACTGAAATTAAATGTATATTTTTTATTGACATAATATTAGAAGTGAATATGAAATAATAAATGATTTGAACTTGTTAAAAAATAAATCTGCAACTTCTTGATTCTGTAATTAATAGACCGAGTGTAAATTAATAAAGACGGAGAATGGGAACTCAGGTGCTGGCGTTCTCTGTGCTTTCAAAATAAAAGTCCCATTCATTAGCCAAACAGACAACTTTGTCAGCCGATGGCAAATATCAGCCTAGGCAATATGTCACTCGACCACCATTAACTGTTCTTGTGCTGATCCTTAGATCGCCAGAGAACACGGAATACGCTTCTTCGAGACAAGTGCAAAAGCCAACATCAACATCGAGAAGGCGTTCCTCACGTTAGCAGAAGACATTCTCAGAAAGGTGAGTTCTGGAATCGCTGACTGATATCACCATCGGTATGATTGAGCTTAATGCATTAAAGGGTTAGTTCACCCCAAAAATGAAAATTATCCCATAATTGACTCACTCTCAAGCTATTCTAAGTGTAGCTTGAGAGTGACACAATCTGAGTTATATAAAAAAATATTGTGGCTCTTCCCAGCTTTATAATGGGAGTGAATGTTTTGAAATTTTTTGAAGCCCAAAAAAAGGGCATCCATCCATCATAAGTAATCCATACTGCTCCAGTGGGTTAATAAAGGCCTTCTGAAGTCAAGCGATGCGTTTTTCTAAGAAATATATCCATATTTATAACTTCATAAACTATAATCACTGGCTTCTGGTACCGGCTGTACGTGAGTCTAGTTCCAGCGGGAGAGTGACCTCTGACCCGAAGCATGACGTAGGACTTTGGCGTAGCGTAATCTTAGGTGAGAGTAAACGCCTCTCGCGTTTCAAACAAATAGGACTGGGCAACAAACTCAAGCTCCTCAGTTAATTCTCGTTTTAGACTTCTAATCCCTGAGCGGTGTTTTGTTTCGCTCTATCCTCTGTGCTTCCGCGTTCATCACTACGTCGGGTCAGAGGTCACTCTTCTGCCGGAACTCGACTCGTGTACGGCCGTTACCGGAAGCCAATAATTATATAGTTATTATAATATAATTATATATTATTTTAATAAAGTTTTAAATATGGATATTTTTCTTACAAAAACGCATCGCTTCACTTCAGAAGGGCTTTATTAACCCACTGGAGTCGTATGGATTATTTTTATGATGGATGGATGTGCTTTTTTGGACTTCAAAATCTCAGTTACCATTCACTCCCATTATAAAGCCTATGGGTTGAGTGAGTAAATTCTGATATAATTTTCAGTTTTGGGTGAACTATCCCTTTAAGCAAAAACATTGCAATGCTAAAGAGCATCGATGTTGTTTCATTTGACTCATAAATTCACAGTTACAGCAGCTGACCTCTCTCGTGTATTCAGCTGGTGTTTACTCTTCTAGATACTATTATTTTAGAGCAGAAACGAGCCTGGATGTTCAGAATCATAATTCAACAAGATGAGCCACATCACCTCACTGAATAAATTGCATTGTGATTCCCTGAATCCAAATTGAATCACTAATTGAAGAGCCGGACTGCAACACTGACTCAACCAGTGGTGTGAGTTTGGTGCTGGAAACCAACCAAACAAAGCCCAAATGATCAAACCAAACGAGTTGGCGCCAAACCTCAAAGTGTGATGTTTACATGAGCAAAATCTTTTTTTTAAATCTATTTTGTGTTTTTTTTTGCAGACACCCGTAAAAGAGCCCAACAGTGAAAACGTGGACATCAGCACTGGAGGCGGAGTCACAGGATGGAAGACCAAGTGCTGCAGTTGAACAGACACAGTTACTCGCACACTTTACACAAACACGCACACACACACACACACTCTGTTCTTCTATATCCCTCTTTCTCTCTCTCTCTCTCTCTCTCTCTCTCTCTCTCTTTTCACTTATCCCTCATTTCTGTCTAACACTCTTCCGTTCTGTCCTTCTAATGGGATTCTCTGTAAAACACATCTCTAACGTTTCTCACACTCACGACTGCTTGCTGACATCATTTTATTTCTGAAAAAAAAGTAAAGAGAGTCATTTCATGTTTCTTCGTACTTATTTTAAAGATTAAAGAAAGAAAGAATGAAATGAATTTAAACGAAAAACAAACTCGCATTCACCACTACATAAAGAGCGTCAGTGGACCTGGAGACGCTGTCCGTCGGCACAGAGGAGCGGCGTAGCGTTCAGTATGACATCCTAGATGAAGACTTTTGTCCAGTGTTTTGGGGTTAGTGTTGTGTGTTAGTGTGAGAGATCTTCTCTAGATGTTTTTGTTTTGTTTGTTTGTTTTTTGATTTTATTTCTTTCGTCCGGTGCCTTAATGTAGAGCCTTAGAGCTCCCCCCCCCCCCCCCCCCCAAACACATTTAAGCTCACTTTTCTGTAATACACACACACACACACACACACATACTCCTCTCCTCTCTGCTTGACCTGCTAACTCAACCCCACACAACACACGCCCGAGTGGAACCATCTGGATTCAACCATTTTGCTCAGAAGAGAATGGCATTATACATTTTTTTGTTTTGTTTTTAAATTTAGTTTCTTTATTTTTCAGAATGACTTGTTTTATGAATCTCCTCAATGTATTTTTGTTTCGTTGTTTTTTTCCCCCCTCACTCAGTTACTCATTCTCTCCTGCATGCTGGTTTCTTTGGGTTTTTTGGGGTCTTTTGTAAGTTTTGCCATGTTTGTAATTCACAGGAAGTATCTCTTCTAGTCCAGATACGTGTCAGGGAGGGGAGCGTTCTCTTTGGAAATTCAAACGATTTTGCAGATCCATTAAAAACAAGCTTGTTTAAGTTACATGTTGGTCCCGTTTCTTCAAGCATGGAGGGTTTGTAATGGTGTGTGTGTGTGTTTGTTACTGTGAGATGCATAAGCATCTGAAAGACCACTGATTTAGTTTGTGAAGTTAAAATATATTTCAAAACATTGGTTCTTGAAGCATCGTACATTGGGTCAGAGGTCACCCTCAAATCTCTCGTGAACGTGCCTACGGCTGTTGCCGGAAGCCAGTGATTATAGTTTATGAAGCTTTAAATATGTATATTTTTCTTATAAAAATGCATCGCTTCATTTCAGAAGGCCTTTATTAACCCACTGGAGTCGTATGGATCACTTTTATGATGGATGGATGCGCTTTTTTGGGCTTCAAATACTATTCAGTGTCGCATTAAAACTGGGAAGAGCCAGGATATTTTTTTATAAAACTCAGATTGTGTTTGGCTGAAAGAAGAAAGTCAAACACACCTAGGATGGCTTGAGGGTGAGTAAATCATGGGATCATTTTTGGGTGAACTAACCCTTTAGATTCTGATGGTGCTCAAGTTTTTGGAATAAAAAAACTTAATACGGAAATAATGTTGTAGTAATATGATAAAGAGAAAACTTGGTCAAAGATTTACTGCTGTTCAACTTCTAATCAGAAGAGTTAGACCAGATTACTGTCAAAATCTTTCATCTGCAGTGTATGTCTGTCTCCTCCTGGTGGCTGGTGGTAGCGTTACACATCTGCTCAAAAACATTTAGGGGGGTGGGAAATTAAAAAAAAATTTAGTCTGTAGTCTTAAGACTAGGGCTGTCAGTTAAACGCGTTATTAACGGCGTTAACGCAAACCCATTTTAACGGCGTTAATTTTTTTATCGCGCGATTAATGGTCTTTTTGGCCTAGCAAACCTTGTAGTTTTTTTTCCACATGCTTTTGCAACAGAACGGCATGCGCGGCGCTGCGCTATGAAAACCATTCATTCATTTCAATGGCTTGCGCCGCGCGAGGACGTTTTGAAAGCGCAAGCGGATCTAGCTAGACCAGAAACAAAACAACAGGCACGCCGCACACACTTGTTTGGGCTTGCGAGCCGGATGCGCGAGCGCGAATCTCTCTGCTCGCGCGCGGAATATAATGTGCCGAGCACGAATCTCTCTGCTCGAGTCGCGCGCTCTCAGATACACGCTGCTCTTGTAAGAATTTTCTATGGGTTCGCTCAGAGAATATGCCTGCACTTAAAACGTGTTCCGTGCAATCGCGAATCTCTCCTCTTCCCCAGCTAACAATTTTAGGTTATAAGAACGTTTTCATAACGTTCCCTTTAAGTTATAAAAACGTTATTTCTGAATGTTATAGGAACGTTCAAAACGTCCAGTTTTGAGTGGATGACGAGCGCGAGACGCCGAAATGGATGCCAATAAGATTCTGAATGGAAAGTTTACTTTTACAATAAGGTCTCACGTGTTAACTAGTTAATGTAGGCCATTAACGAACAAGTCATAATTTTTTTTATCAATCTTTGTTAATGTTAGTTAAAGGTGCAATGTGTAATAATTTTGAGTATCTATTAACAGAAATGCAATATGACATCCATAACTATGTTTTCAGAGGTGTATAAAGAACTGACTTAATAAACCGTAATATTTTTATTACCTTAGAATGAGACATTTATATCTACATAACCGCGGGCACCCCCTTCTATGAAGGTCGACATATTGTGACGTCATGTTTCTACAGTAGCCGAACGCGAACACACAGCGCTACAGAGCGCGTTTCGTCACTACCTTGAAAGAGAAGCCGCAGGAAGCTAGAAGAAGCTAGTCATAAACACCGTGAGTAGTGACTTTTCCCTTGTCAGTGGTGTAAAATATGTAGTTGGACTGTTTCATGTAACTTCTTCTCCCTCGCTGTGTTATGGCTTTGCTATGTGGGGATAAATGTGCTGGTTACGTTCGTGAGACAGCTGATTAGTACTCTTGTCATTGACCGTAAAACAGAATGTTACAGGAATCACCAACCCGACGATCGCGGTCGACAAGTCGATCTTGGAAGCATTTTAAGTCGATCGCGAAGAGTTTTCAAAATCAGAGAAAAAAGCCTATTGTGGTAAATGGTGTTTAGGGGATGCGGAGGCGCGCGCGCTGTTACAATCATGTCATTTTTGCCGCGCGCACCTTTGGGCTCATGCGGACCATAGACAGTATAAGAAGTGGACAGAGCCATCTCATTGGAACTCAGTTGAGACAGTTGAAGCCCGTTTTTTGCGATTTTTGAGCACTTCCGTTCCTGACGCGCAGACTCAAACCGACTCAAACTAAGCTTGATGACGTGAGCAACCTGTCTGACAGACGTTAATCTTCTAGTAGCTGTGCGTGGAAATTGCCAACGTTAATCTCGCAGAGACGGGGAACTTGAGCAAACAGTTCTTTGGCGGGAGTGAGCAGGAGTAAGTATTCCGTTGCTTTTATGGACTCATTATCTATGGGCTTCTCCCTTGACGGGACGTCCCCCCGATCGCCTGCGAGCTTCTCCTGCTGTCTGTACGGTAATTTCTGTACAGCGCGACAGAGGGTTGAGTGGTTATGACGCAATCGTTAGCCTATTTTTACTAAATCTGTTTCTACGGGGCCATAATGTAACATAGAAGGTAATGGAGCCCTTTATACATTGTCGTGTTTCTTTAGAAATAAATAATGGACAAATGGAATCTTTAAATGCCTCAGCTGTCAAAGTGACGCCAAAATGAATGGGAGTCAATGGAAATGCTAACGCAAGTGAAGTTCTGCTACAACATGGCGGCACCCGGCCGGCTTCAACTTCCGGTCGATGGATTACCCCCTTGATGCGGACGCGTCGAGTATAAACAATTCTTTACACTTTAACCAGCTCAGCCACAGTCACAGCTCATATTTAGCCAGCTAAACTTTTACTACCCTGTTAGAAAACATATATAGTTGCATAGTTTCATGTGGTTCTTCTCCCTCGCTGTATTATGGGTTTGCTATGTGGGGAGAAATGTGCTGGTTACGTTTGTGAGACAATCGGCTGATTACTATTATTATATTATATATTAAGACCCTTGATCCTCACCTGACTATGGCTTTGTAAACGTTATCCATGATGTGGTTCATAATGGACTGTGGTACAGAAACAGTGACAATGTTACAACACTCTTGGCTTACTCTGGCTATTCTCTGCTGTCTCCAGACAACAATATGTTTGTCCCGTTTTAGCCACCGTAGCTTCTTCGGAAGGGAGGGGTGAGCAGTGGGCTGAGCCCTTAGTGCAAACTCAAACCGAACCGCTAGATGCACCTTTAATAAAAATACAACTGGTCATTAATGTTCATGTTAGTTCACAGTGCATTAATGTTAACAAATTCAACTTTTGATTTTAACAATGTAAGGCTAAATGTTGAATTTAACCTCAACTAAGATTAATAAATGCTGTAGAAGTATTGTTCATTCTTCGTTCGAGTTAATGAAAGTATTTTAAATAACAACTGTTTAGGTCCTATCATAAAAGTATGAAAGTTATGAATTAAGATGACAGACAGGCAGCCTAATTGAAGTTTTTTCTTCAGTTATGCTCAGCTCTACAATATTTTTATTTTCTCGGAAATGATATAGGCCTATTATATATAATTCAAAATAGAACGTTGAAAATATATACCGGTACGTTCTTCATTTGTGTAACATATAGCGGTATCGCTCGTTCAATGCTGTTGTTACGTTGCCAATGTGAATTTGAACATTTTTTTATCTCATCATCACATGAATGAATCTCATTGTGACAGATAAAAGCTAAAATCGTGTTTTAAGATCATACATTGTTAGGTAGCCTATAAGATAATGCCTTCAAAAGCAAAGAATATGTGTATAACATAATTGCCTGCTAAACGATATTAATTAAGCGTGTTTATTTGTGGTAGTTTTTAGACCACACGATGGCAGCACAGAAAATAACATCGTCATGTGTGTCCAGATATTCAGCCGTGAAGATAAGGAGATCTAAACTAAAGCAGAAAGTGGGTGTTTATATGCTTGAAGTGAATCCAGCTGACAGCAGCCTTCAGCATCAACTCAATTCATTTTCATTAATAATTGAATTACAGCATGACAGGTGAAATAATCGATTCCTACTGCATTAAATAATTTCAGAAAACCTTTCAGAGGAAGAGGCAGGATTGAAGAATGAAACATTTGATGAAATCAATTCCCTTTATTGCTTGGAATAGAAATAACATTAATAAATGACCTTCCAAAAATAGGCTATCCAGAATATGATGATATAGGCCTACAGATAGGTTATAAAAAATATTCGATGTGGTACAAATCCCCCACAAAAATAAAAAATTTAAATAGCCTACAACAAAGCTTAAACAATCGTTGTACGTTTTAATTAAATTAGTGACTTAATAATTTACTAAACAAAGTATTAGCCAAAAATACCAGACAAATAGCCTAAGCGAGAACCGTTTGTTTATTTTTTTTTTCGGTTGTGTTTTTTATTTTAAACCGTTCGCTGATATGTTGTAGCAAGTTCCTCAGTATACGTCATAATTAGTATAACCTACGTCATATACTACATTAGTTTACGTCATAATTGGAATTTTTGCAGCAACATTCAAACGGTGAAACTGTTATGACGGAGAAAAGCATTCAAACTACAAAAAGGCAAAAGGTAACATTTTGCCAGCGGATATTGTAAAAAAAAAAACCTAAAAAACTAGTTTTTTTGTGTGTGTGTCAAATTACAACAGAACCACGTGACGACCTGCCCAATACAAATGTGACAACTTTCCCCAACCTCACAAAAAAAATACTTTTTAAAAGTATTAAAAAGTCTTATCACGGCTTTATAAAGTCTTAAATTTTGAAAGTATTTTTTCTAGGGATGCACCGAATAATAGGCCGCCGAAAATAGCCCAAAAGTGCATTTTCGGTTTTCGGCCGAAAGACTTTTATCACCGAAACAATACGGCCGAAATGTTGTGATGACGCAAACAGAAACCGCGACCTGCACGTGCTTGTC